TCAAAAATAACCCTTTTTTAACCTTGATCAAATAAACCAACTTTATATTCCTTCTTTTTACTTCCAACAATGTTAATCTTTAGTCGATTCAAATAATGTTGTAGAACTTGATTTTCTTTTCATTTTTTCTTTGTCCCCTCCCACAAGATTCTTCAAAACTTTAATGAGCCTCTTTTGCAAATCCAATATAAGAAAATTATCCAAGTCATTATCTTGGTTTATTGTTTGTATGTCCCTTTCAGTTATTAAGACATTAACTGGTTTCTTTTGTATGTCCAATGTAACATCTTTTTCCATACCATTCTTGTAGCCTGTCATTTGTAAATCCAGTTTCAACTCAGTCTCAATATTGTCAAGTACAACTTGTTCCTCTTCCATAACATCTTTTAGACATAGTCTCTCCATAGAGGCAGATATCTCTATTGACACTATTAAAATTAATTTCTGAGTCCATTTTTCAAAAATATCCTTCCATATATTCAATGTTAGAATATTTTGCTTCATTCTGTAATTGTAAGTTGAGTTTATGTGTTCTTCTCCTTTAATTGTAACCTTTAGTTCCATCTAGTGTCCAATTTTTAAAATCTTATCTTATTATATTGGTTTTAAAAAATTCAAAGCAAGAGCAGTTTCCCACAGGAAGGATTGTTTATAATGAATTCCAAAATCTTATTTCAAATTTATCTGGACCCTTAGTCCATTTTTAACTTCTAAAATCAACATTTTAATCACTATTTTGCTGTTTATTCCCCCCCCCCCAAAAAAAATTTAAGTTCCTCAACTTGTAGTTAAAACTTCCTTTTTCTAAGGATTGAAGGAAACTCACCTGGTGCTATCAAACTTGTTCATCCAAAGTTTTCTAAGAGCTGAAAAGCAGTTAATAAGCAATTTCCAAAAGTGATTAGAAAAGGAAGCATGTGTGAGAGCGCTTCCAGTGAGGCTGGCAAACTGACACCCCATGCTCCACAGGAGGCATCGTGGCCAAAAGGCAGCTGGATGCAGGATCCAGACTGCCCATAATTCTCTCTGGCTAAAAGAGAGATCTTAAGATGACCCTCATCCATTCCAGACATGTCTGGAAATTTATTTTTGCAGCCACTTGCGATCAGCTGGGAATGGTGGGTATCATCATGCTCTGAGCTATTAATATAGACTTTTAAGGACTTAGGGTTCATCAAAACCTCATCTTTTTAATCACTTTGAAGTTGTTTTTTTTTCTTACTGTTTCTTTAAGATTGAAAAGCTTCGGAACCCCAAGTTGGCCATTCTCTGGCTGAGCCTCTCTTCAATCTGTTTAAAAAGAAAGAAAATTACCTGTTTCCAGCTTTGTAAGATCCTTATTTTTTGCAGTATTTACAAAAAGGGGACTATAGTGTTGTTTTTTGGAAAGTTTTTAAACACTAAGAATTTGGATAAAATTAATTTAAAGAAAGACTTTGAAGTTAATTAAAAGAAACCTCTCCTGTGGGGAAAAAATCATGTTTCTATTTCAATGAGATAACAAAGCTTTGAAGATTAATCACTAGAGAGCACCAGATGGCTACTTTAAAGAAAATGTTTTATAAACTGGCTCAAGAAATTCTTGGATTATTTAACCCTATACTGGAACCAAAAGTTGTTACTGAAGAGAACCAGACTTCTTGAAAGATAAATGAAATGGATTTTAAGGTGGATTTAAAAATTATAACCTATAAGAAAGTGACGGAAATATTAGATTTACAAATGGAATTGGATGATCATTTAAAAATTTAAAAAGATATACAAATAATGTAACAAAAGAAGGATGTGGATTACCCATTTAAATTGGAATATAAGAGACTTACTGGAATGGCTACATTGAAATTAATATGGACTTTGATAAAGAATTATATCTATGGGATTCAGAGATTAATGGGAGGAAGAAAAGAAATACAAAACTGATTTATTTGATTATGGTTAAGTAAAGGATTGTTATTTTTGATGATGTTTAATGGTTACTTTGACTGGATAGCTC